CCGGGTTCTATAACCTTGGATGGCAATTGGTGTACCACAGAAAGAAAATGGCAACTTACTGTGGGAAAAAATCTGCCTCGTCAGTCATGTATCAAAAGATACATGATCGCCTAACTGACTGACCGACTAGATTGGTGGCAAGGTTTCATCATTTTACAATTGAATTGGCCAGATACAACTGTAAGTTATTTCCAGTTTCTTTTCTTGCATTTCTCACCTGTGGAACTCTCTTCTGGCTTCTTGCTTTTCAACCAACTTTGATCTTCAAAAGTTTAAATGCAATGTCAATTGTTATCTACTGTTTCCTTAATTTTGTCTATTTTTATTGTTCTTGCTCCTTAAAAATGTTTTTCCTTTTCTTATTCTTTTACACTCAATAACCCATTGTGTCTTAGTGGCTTTATTGCCTTGCTTGGGGTGAAATGATTAAAAAAGCCATTGTAATTCATTGAAAATCAGAGAGAAAAGTCTGACTAAAAAGACTCTAAATGAAAGTATGCTTTACTTATCAGTTGATAAAGTAGAAGGAACCACATGCACTGATTTTCCTTAATTGCTGTTATTGATTGAATTGAGCCTTGATTACTCTAACTTTTGATGATCCTACAAATGAAATGTACATCCCTAATCCCCATTGGCTTATTTTAATGGGGCTGTTAGCTGAGTTACTCCATAATTTAAATGAGGCTTTTGAAGCACATATGTTACAGTGATTCTTATTCATTCGTCAGTCACTTTTGAACTGACTGCTCGGTTGAACTCTCTTCCTATGGACGGGAGGAACCCGAAGGAGGCTACGCCGAAGGGTGGAGTCTCCTTCGGGAGGTAAATCGGCCCTGAACCCATATGCAGGTTCAATGGGCATATTTTTGGATGAGCCCACGGGCTTGGAATGCCCACATTAAAAAGGCCTTGTGCCACATGATACCCTTGTGGGTGGGTGACTCAATATCGTGATTCTTATTCATTCATAGCCCTGTGAACAGCCTTCAAATTCTTGTACCAAGACTGTAGGCTATTACAATTTTTCTGTGAGGGCATGCAAAATATACCATTTGTGTCTATTGTACATATTAAGATTAAGTTTGTATCTCATAATATTAAAGAGGAAATCATATAAAATATAAAGGCATATTTGATTACAATTGTTCATAAGTTAAGACTAACCTATATGCAGATATAGCATGTTTGATCCTTGAAAATGTCTCCACATATAAATATGTTATATCAAATGCTGAAATTAATTTTGGGGGAGAAATATTTTACAGCTGAATATCCTTCATTTTGGAGGCATTTGTTATCTTCCTTTTTTGTATTTGCTTTTCAACATGCCATTGTATAGATATGATGGCAGGATCCCTGTGATATATAAAGAAGACCTTTTTTTTTGGTCGTAACTCAATAACCTGTAGTGTAAATAATTGTAAGGGAACCACATGCTTTCATTTTGTGTCCAAAACTGATTTTCCTTTATTGCTGTTATTGATTGAATTGAGCCTTGATTACTCTAACTTTTGATGATCCTACAAATGAAATGTATATCCCTAATCCCCATTGACTTATTTTAATGGGGCTGTTGGCTGAGTTACTCCAGAATTTAAATGCAGCTTTTGAAGCGCATATGTTACAGTGATTCTTATTCATTCATAGCTCTGTGAACAACATTCAAATTCTTGTACCAAGACTGTAGGCTATTACAATTTTTTCTGTGAGGGCATGCAAAATGTACCATTTGTGTCTATTGTACATATCTAAAATTAATATTTTGCTTAGGTTTTTCTTGAAGAATCTGTATATATTTCTGAGATGAGATATTGTAATTATTTACATTATTTACATTGTTTGGACCATTGCCCTTGTCTTTATTTTTATATTCATGACATTTTATCTGTTGTATGTTTCTGCCTTTTTCAGGCGGTTCAAATTTTGAAATGAACCCTTTATTTCATTGCTGAAGAATATAGGTAATTATTAAATGATTAACTTTTTGAACTATTAATATCATAATTATTTGTAATAAATGTTCACACATGGAATGTAAAATATTCATTTTGGCATTTGCATCTTTCCTATATATACTTATAGTATTTGCTATATGACTATATATCTAATAAATAGAGTGAATTGAAGTTTTAAAATAATCATTTAATAAATCTGACTTGTGATATCTTCTTTTTTTTCAAAAATAATTTCACCCCAAGTAATGCGATAATGCCACTAGGATGCAAGAGGTTACAGTGAGCAAAAGAGAAGGAGAACACTAGTGAAGAAAAGTGAGGAGAAAGTACAATAAAAGAACAGGGTTCAGGAGAACGGAAGATGGTGATTAGGCAAAGCAAGAAATTGGAAGGGAGTTCCACAGGTGAGAACTGCAAGAGAAGAAACTATTAGAATAGAACTTATGGTTGCATTTAGCTAGTTCAACAGTAAAAAAATGAGACCTAATTGCCAATCTAGTAGCATGCTTAAATTTATGTGGTTGAGGCACCTAGGAAGAAAACCTTTCAGACTCTGATAAAACCAGTACATTAATGGAAATATAGAAATTCACTCCATGTTTTTCTTGTCAAATAAACTGACAGAAAATATAATTGTAACACCCTGATAGAAGATTCCACTTTTACTGTATGTACGTACTGGTGAGGGGTAGAAGATATTCTGATAAAATTCTTAAAGTCTTCAGTCCTTTTATGACGTAGGCTCATGCCAATAGACCATCTACATTTGAACTTTCGATGATGACTCATGCAGTAACCTTTTGTTCAATTACAGTCACTTGAGAGAGGTCAGATTGTTCAATTATAATTCCAAAGAATTTTTTAGTTATTATCCACACAAAATAAGGCCCAAGAGACAACCAAGATAGTACAGGTACAGTCTGAATTGTGTCCACAATATAGATCAGAGCAAATATGGTCACATCTCCTCATAGACTGATGGAAATCGTTTACTACATATACCGCTAATCAAACTTACATTTATACTATAACACCATCATGCATGTCCTGTGACATCACAAGAGTAACCTGGAGGATCAAATGACTCATTAAATTAGCCCACCTACAGGTACAAATGATATAGAATGGTATTTGCCATCTGTAAGAGTGACTAGATGCTACTGTACAAGTTTATGTTAATGTCCAAGGAGTAATACAGTGTATTAATATGGGATCTGAGTTCTGTTGATAAAATCCTTATTTTAGAACCGATGCACATATGGATCTGAAAATGTGATCATTTCCTTTAATGTTGAAACCCATTCATGATGAAGTAATTTCATTTTCCAGCAGTGTGATATTGATTTTACATAGCAGTTCAGCACTCTTTGTTTCTGATGAATTTTTTTCTCTTAATACTTTGTTTAGTTTTTGGAAGGCATCTTTCATTATTCCAATGCATCTTCAGATTTCTGTATCACATTTTTAATTGTCTGTTCTAAGTTAAATTTCTGTACTTGATTGATTTTGATGTCTTCAATTTGTAGCTTGTAGCTTGGACTGTTCCTCTTGCTAATGACCATACATTGTTTTCTTCCAATTGACAGTTAGTCCTTTCATCTTGCTTTCCTTTACTACCTTGTCAAGAATTACCTGAACTATTACAATTAAAAAATGCGGCCTCTTGGTTACTCAATTGCTGGATAAATCATTCTGTGCTTTAAGTTTGCAGTCATCACTAACAATTTTTGAGCAATCCTTTTTTTTTTTGTTTAGTCAGAATAATATCATACACTGAAAAATGACAAGATGTGATCTTCCTTTGAGGATGACACAAGAATATATCAGCAATGCAGTGTCATAAAAATAAAGTTGAAGAGATTTGTAAGAATAAATATTTACAATGATTCTACTCAGAATTTCAGACAGCATTTATCAAAATAATATAAAGATGTTTTTGTTGACAGTTTACTTCTTTCCTCATTCATCATGGAAACCTTACAATCTGTGTCATATCTGCAACTTGTTAATAGAAACAAAACCTAACCAATGACAACATCAATATACTAGCAAGAAACTGAAGTCTGAAAACAAAAAAAAATGTCCATCAAGAAAGTTATGTATTTATCAATAGAAACAGAGATAAATTATTGGGTTGGATCAAAAGAATTGATTCATATTTGTTGTCTTATTTCATCTCAGAGTTTAGCCATATATCGTCTGGCTTTCTTTCTTCAAGCATCTGTTCTTAAATGTTGTATCTTATCCCAAGACAACATTAGATAATTAGAAGATTGAAAGAATCTGTACAGATACTGCACGCAGATAACTTGATCAGCAGACTAAGCATAGGCATTAACAGTATATGGAATCTACTTATCAAGAAAGAACAAACAAGGAAGGTTGTAATACAAAAGCTTGATCAAAGATTTTAAAGCTCTGTAAATGCTTAAGAAGTTCATTGGAAGTCCACAAGTTTAACACAGGTATCAGGAGAAGACAATCCCAAGAACTCAAGCACTGGACACATGACATGTATGATAGGGGGTGAGTATGCCTTTTTAGAGCAAGATTCAGTAATCAACACTGATTCTCTAGGTAAGTAGGCAGGCTCTTTACTCATGGCAGTTCATATAACAAAATATTTCAAATATCATTTTTTCTTATTTACCTTGAAGCCATACTAAATCAACCTTATTAAATACAATTAGTGTTAATTACCCAGCATGTAGTGAGGATTAGTAAGCTGATCATTAGACCAGGAATCAACAAACTATGGTCTGGATGTTCAAGAATTTAAATGCAATGTCAATCATTATCTATTGTCTTCTTAATTCTTGTTCTTTTATTGTTCTTTCTCCTTAATAGTGTTTTTTTTTTCATATTCTTGCATTTTAGTGGTTTTATTGCCTTGCTTCAGGTATTTTCTGAGGGGGAAAATATGTGGATGATGCCTTTCCCAAGGACATTTCCTTATAAATGAATATAATGAACCCAACATGAATTGGAACTCAGCTCTCCAATTAACAATTCTGAACCATTATCCAACCCATGCATCCAAGTTTACAGCATCTGGTATTCCCAAATGGTCACCCATCTAGGTACTGACCAGGCTCAATGTTGCTTAACTTAGATGATTGGATGGAAACTGGTGTTTCAATGTGATTTGGCCATAAGCCAAACTAACAATTGGAAAAACAGAAATTGAGTGCTATTTTTAACTCATGTTGTATATAGGAAAATTATGGCTTTTTTTATTACAGAAAATATAAATTGGTTCTTAATCGTAATCAAAGAAAATAATCAGCTGTTAAAATGCAATTATAATCATAGAAAAATATTTACAAGATGATAATATAGCAAATGTCTAATGAACTTCATTTTCAAGACCAATTGTTTTATCAAGCATTAAAAATTACCTTGAGAAATAGACAATATTTACAGCAATTTACACCAATTGTGGTTAGAAGCAGGTTATCAATTATATATTATAATTTATTTATTTTAATTATATATTATAAATTGCTAATGACTAATATAACCATTGAGATTAAAAGATAAAGTACATTAGAAATACTTGAGATAAAACATAATTTTTCTGTTATTTTTCCTTTAATTTTAGTATGTATAAAATTTACAACAAAAAAAGGTCTTCTTTATATATCACAGAGATCCTGCCATCATATCTATACAATAACATGTTGAAAAGCAAATACAAAAAGGGAAGTTAACAAATGCCTTCAAAATGAAGGATATTCAGCTGTAAAATATTTCTCCCCCAAAATTAATTTCAGCATTTGATATAACATATTTATATGTGGAGACATTTTCAAGGATCAAACATGCTATATCTGCATATAGGTTAGTCTTAACTTATGAACAATTGTAATCAAATATGCCTTTATATTTTATATGATTTCCTCTTTAATATTATGAGATACAAACTTAATCTTAATATGTACAATAGACACAAATGGTATATTTTGCATGCCCTCACAGAAAAAATTGTAATAGCCTACAGTCTTGGTACAAGAATTTGAAGGCTGTTCACAGGGCTATGAATGAATAAGAATCACGATATTGAGTCACCCACCCACAAGGGTATCATGTGGCACAAGGCCTTTTTAATGTGGGCATTCCAAGCCCGTGGGCTCATCCAAAAATATGCCCATTGAACCTGCATATACGGGTTCAGGGCCGATTTACCTCCCCGAAGGAGACTCCACCCTTCGGCGTAGCCTCCTTCGGGTTCCTCCCGTCCATAGGAAGAGAGTTCAACCGAGCAGTCAGTTCAAAAGTGACTGACGAATGAATAAGAATCACTGTAACATATGTGCTTCAAAAGCCGCATTTAAATTATGGAGTAACTCAGCTAACAGCCCCATTAAAATAAGCCAATGGGGATTAGGGATGTACATTTCATTTGTAGGATCATCAAAAGTTAGAGTAATCAAGGCTCAATTCAATCAATAACAGCAATAAAGGAAAATCAGTTTTGGACACAAAATGAAAGCATGTGGTTCCCTTACAATTATTTACACTACAGGTTATCATTGACTTGCGACCATGATTGGCTACAAGCAACAGGTCATAAATCTGCCTGTAATTAATTTTGCCATCTTTAGGTATTATTGTATTTTTTATAAATTTTATGGTTTCTTTACATTTGGTACTATTTGTTTTGTTCCTATTTTCACTTTTGTCAGGCTGCATACGGTAGAGTTAGTTTAATATTTGCCAAACATACAAAGATTAACAAAATACAATTGCAAAAAACAGAAAAATATTTTTAATTGCAAAATGTACCAAAATACATGCAAATACAAAACATCTTATTAGCCACTAGTATTTTGTTGTGGATCACCAATGCTGTTGGCTATGATAAATTCAGATCATGTGCGATCACATTACCTTTTCTTTCCTCTTTCATACTGTTTTATCAACCATCATTTTTGTGTCAAGATCAATACCCTTTCTTTTTTTTCTTGGCTGGTTGAAGAGTAGACAATGATAATTTCCTCTTGGTACATATCTTGGGATTTTTTGAAGAAAAATTTCAAAGACACAAATGGAATCAGGAGAAAGTGCGTTGTACTGAGGCAGCCCTAACACTGAACTTAAGGCACCTGGAGGTATGTTAGTGTTGCTGTGAACTGGGGTGGAAACTGTCCTATACCAAGCTGGGAAATACTCACACTGGTAGACGCAGAGCAGTCATGGCCAGACATAGAAATTTATGGTCATGGTCATAAAGTGAAACAGTTGTAAGTTGCAGACAACCTGTATTTTTTTTTTTTTTTAAAGCAATTCACCCCAAGCAAGGTGGGAGTGCCACTAACATGCAAGAGGTTACATAGGATTGAGAACAAGAGTAAAGAGGCATGTTTGAGGAAAGGATACAGAGAGGGACAAGGAACAAACTCAGGGTATCAGATGTTGATTGACATTACATATATTTGAAGATTATAGTCATCGGGGAAGCAAGTAAGGGGAAGGGAGTTCTACAGATGGGAAGTGCAAGAGAAGAAGCTGTTTGAGTAGAAGAAATGGTTACATTTAACTGTTTTGACAGTGAAAGAGTACATGTGAACTATTGTCTCCATCTTCAGGTAACCTACAGGGAATTCCAAACTGAACACTATTTAATCTACAAGGGTAAATTAAATAAAGGGTTAGGGTTCAGCTCAGAATTTCCTGTAGGGTACCCAGGTCAACATACACCTGATGAAGACCAGAGGACACAATAGCTGAAATGTTGTGATAACAACAAAAATGAGGACTATAGTCTGCATATAAATAACGATAACTCTTCATCCTAGAAAGTCAGACAGAAAAACATTTTACAATGTCTTCTGTTTATGTCGGATTTACAATTAAAAGAGATCAACCTACAATCCATTGACATGTTGAAAGACAAATGCAAAAAGGGAAAGTTAAATGATGAAGGATCCCATACTTTAAAATCTGCGCAATAATTAATTTCTGTATTTAATAGAATATTTATATGAGAAGATTAAAATTCCCTTTCTATTTTGATGATTGGAAGAAGAATTTTTGAACCACGAATTTGACTTAGATTTTATCTTATAAAACAAAAAATAATGTTATCAGTCTCATTTGGGACCTATGAAAGAATTATATTCAAAATCATACTAATTAAAGGAAAATATTTAAGCACAACCCAAGTAATGAGGATGGTTCTCTTCAAGGAGGAAGGGCAAGTGTGTGAATAGATTTTTAGGTGAGTAAGAAGTTGAACAGTTCTAGACCCCACTTCTTGACACCCTGAGCTTAGAATTTAACAGCAAAGTAAATCCAGTACAGTGAGACTATTTTTTAATACAAGGAATAACTTTTTTGCACTTCACAGCATTGGTTAGAATTATGAGAAATGAGATATAATTATCTGCCTTTGACAGTTTTAGGTTAGCCAATCAGCTTACAATTGCTGATTGGTGCGCTTTTCTACCTCTTTTTGAAGAACACTCATTCTTGGTAAGATCTACGAAATGAACACTTGCAGAACCAGCCAGCTCTACACCGTTATCACCACAGAATCCATAGATGGTGAAAACATCAACTCTTCTTCAGCAGCTGTTTGGTAACAGACACCATTAAGTTTGCAAGGATTTATTTATAATATTGTTTAATACAACTTGTATAAATCAAAGGTCAGTCGCATTCTATTCATTATTTATTACATCTGCGTCCACAACGTGGGAATCTTATATGGGTTCACTTCAATTCCCCATAGAATTTATTGTTTTCCTATTCCTAGACTGACTGCCAATCAAAGCAAGAGTACTCAGTGTCCTGTTATTTAATCCATAACTGGAGAAAAAAGTGGACTCATGCCTTTTCCAAGAGTATTAGTGCCAAAGAAACTTAAGAGACCTATTATATATTTGTTAAAGTTTTTTTTTTAACTCAAATGATGCAATAGGAGAATTTCCATTGCTATTTTATGAAACATGCAAGGAGTATATTTAATCATTAACTTAAAAATTATGATTCATCAGTAAATTCAAAGGAAAACCATGAAATGTTAATGGGTACTGTTAGTATATTTGAATTAGTTATCTATTATGTTTTGTAATGTGTGGCACATTTGCAAAATTAACTAGTGCATAGTGTGTTTGAGACTAGCATGCTAATATTCTCTAATTGGCGCTCAGATTGTTTAAAATTTAAAGCTGCTTCAAGGTCATAATAACAAAGCATTAGATTGAAGATTGAACTTGCAATAATCTAACAAACCTGTTCTCCTCCCCCCATGTTTCATCATTATCAGTCAATATAAGCAAATATATTAAACTTAGCTTATTCTTGGACAAGACCACATGTATAAAGCACCGTCTTTTCTACAAATATTTCCATGGCAATAGTTCTGATGAACTGTTCTCTTTAGTGTCTCAACTGCATGAATTTAAATGTACTACTAGATTGGCAAGTAGGTTTTACTGTTGAACAAACTTACCTGTGAAACTCACTTCTGATTTCTTGTTTCCCTGTCAAACTATAATCTTCAAAAATTTAAATTCAATACCAATCATCACCTCCTCCTGTCTTCCTGAATCCAATTCCTGTACTCACATTCTTTTTCACTCCTTGTACCCCTCCCTTCTGCACTAAGCCATGTTCTAGTAGCATTTTTGCCTTGCTTGGGGTGAAATAACTAAAAAAAAACATACTGGGTATTAACAAAAAATACAAAAATCAATCATTATCACCACATGTCAAATTAATCACAACAGCTCAACAACAACAAAAAATAACTTCAATCAAAGAATCATGGTTGGCCATGTGTGGTGTGACAGTGTCATGCATCAAAATGACACCTTCATGCAAATATCCTGATCTCAAACAGTTTTAGTCTGTTCAATGTTTAATAGTATTTGAGTATGTTAACTATCAGACCATGGCATATGAAGTCTACAAGCAATCATCCTTTTGCATTCCAGTAAATGGTTACCATCAATTTCTTCACTGATTGATAAACTGATAAAATTGGGGGATGTGGTTAGTGATGCTGCTGTTTCTGATTTATAGAAATCAATGTTTGATTGTAGATTAATCAGATGCATTCAGATCTTATCACCCATAACCCCCACTGCATTCTAGTGGCACTACCCTGCTTGGAATGAAATGAATATATATATATATATATATATATAT